AGTTCAGAGTTGGTGTCATTTCAATTTGACCACAAAAATGGTGCTTAAAAACTTACACGAATTCTTATGCTTCAACACGAATGAATACTTTAAAGGTGGACAAGGGCTAGTACCTGACCATGAACAGTGAGAGAACTTTGAATGATTTTCACCTCTTTTTGCGTTTTCGAATAACTCACTCAGAGAAATTTGAATGATTTTTCTTCTGGCAAATAACTCATAGAGTCGAATAATAACTCACTCAGAGAAATTTGAATGATTTTTCTTCTGGCAAATAACTCATAGAGCATTCGACTCGACTATAGATTTTCAACTCTTTTTGGCATTTGAACTAACTCACATAGAGCAATGTAGAAGACCAAAGAGCACGAATCCAATTCCAACTTAAGCACGTAATTTCATTTTCACACTTTTCATCTCGTTTGGCATTTGTAGTAGACCAAAGAGCATGAATCCAATTCCAACTTGATCACGTTACTGCATTTTTACACTGTCCAAAAGTTTTTTCAAGAAGGACCTAACAAAAAAACGACTTAATGGGAAAGTACAATGGTGGAGATATAGTAATTGGAACATTAACAGCTTATTTGGAAAAACTTCTTGAATAATTTATGCATGTTCGGTCTAAACTAAGAATGAACTTATGAATAAGTTGATTCTCTTAAAAAGTCCATTGTAGAAGTCCATTTTGCAAAAATTAATTTAAGAAACAAACAATTACATAAGTGCTCAGAAACAAGACCTAAATATTTCCATTTCTCTTTCAAATCAATTGGTAACGAGCCAAACACAGAACGAATATATTGAATTCCAATAACCACACTAAACCCGCTTAAGTCCAACTTTGAGGCAGTGTTGACAACAATAGTAGCAAGACAAGCCATTGCCATAAAAGATGGATCAAGTAGGGATCAGAGAGCACATTATACGACTCACACATTCAAATTCAAGGAAAAGGTAGCGCAAAAACAGGCTACATTACAACTTTGTCTACGGTCTTGTAGAAGAGAGAATATTGAAGATGTAAACCGAACTAGAAGGAGACAACAAAGAAATGATAAAAAAACTTATGAACTAGGTGAGCAGCTTCAACTGGTTTGTCCAACAACGATTTTCTGAACCACACACAGCATGAGAGGGTAATCCTGGTACAGGGATAACAAACATAGTTATGCTAATATAAAGCTTCACAAATAGTGGCAGGCAGAAGATGCACAAAGCAAGATAATCTCTTCAAATGTTTCGTGCTCAGTCTTGTCCAGGCTACCCCAGTCAACAGAAAAAGAGTATTATTTCCTTTAAAACGTGGTGGAATATTTGTTTGTTATCCACATCCCAAGACATAGGACTGAGGACTCGATATCATACTAACAGCAATTAAGCAATCTACATTAATATTATATAGTTAAAACAGCACAGGACATGTTACCCTATGCTCAAACACAGCCTAAAATTGAACCCCTGTTGTATGCCTGTATAGGTTAGTCACAGGGAGCATTCATATACATATATAACGGCATGACAATCAACTATTGACTTACAAAGTAATGTTCTTGAACTACCCTGCCATTCTTTATTCTGTGTAACTTAACTAGAGTACTTGTTTTAGATTCTTCAACCCGCTTTGTTAGCATCTAAGCATAATCAAAGCAATTCCAATACTTTTATCCTCCCAGGCTCCCTTGTAACTCATACTATTTCATAAACAAACAGACATTTTAACTCCTTCACAATCAATCATTTCCTCTATAAACATAACAAGTTACTACTTTCCTCGTTTCCACTTTTTCTTCCCTTTTTCTTTTCCTTTTTTTTTTGGGAAAAAGATCCGCCCTTAATCTATCAACATTACGCTTCAAAACCCGATTCTCGAAAAACAAACCACACACCGGATTATGAACATAATCAAGTAAACAAAACTATTCTAACCTCACAATCATCTGAGCTTCTCCTTGGCTGCACTCTTCCTGGCTGCCTCATCGATCTTCTCGATATACCCCTCAATTGGTGGCGTAAGTGTGGCCATGAATCTGTTCACCGGAAACGGGCTCAAATCCGGCACCAGAGCTGCCGCCCTAAGATCCTCCGGCAAGGCTTCGATAGCCTCCTTTTTACACCTCAACAGGTTCGTCTCGGCTGCCTGCCTTGCCCTGTGCTTCCTCATCAGCACTCGACTGTACTCCTTAGCCAGCCGCCGCCCATCCTCCACATTAAGATCGTATTTGGGTATTTTATCGGCATCGACCAAACCCAAAGTGATGAAATCCATGCCAGGCGTACCCATTATCCACGGAGAGGCGAATTCATCCTCCTTCGCCTTTTTCTTGAGCTTCTCCTTGGCCTGCTCGTTGGACTTGCTTATGAGGCCCATTTTCTCACGCTCGGCTTCCCGGGCTTTTTCCTTGGGCTTCAGGAACCGGAGTGGTGACGTGGCGGTTAGGCATTGATCGACCATCTCGTCAAACGGGGATTGCCTACGGGGACCTTCCTTCTTGGAGGGTTCGAGGGAACCCTTTTTGGTGGTGACCTTAGATCGCTTTAGCGGCTGCCCGGTTTTGATTTTGGCTTTGCCCTTGGCAGTCCCGCTCACGGAGCATCTCTGGAGGAGTTGGTGAGCGAAGGAGTCAAGGGACGGGTTGGAGGGCTTCAGTTTCTTGAGCACTGTTGATCTCATCATCTTCCTGTAACCTAATGAAAAAAAATAATACCTAATTTGGAGAAGAAAGCAGAAAAAAAAGGCACGATATGTGAATACCAAATATTTTGTGTGTACGCAGAACAAAATGCAAATTGGCCTTTTTTTTTTTTCTTTTTTAATAAACATTGGACAAATGCAATTAGGGTTTGCGATTTTAGTCTCGGTTGGACTAGNTTTTTTTTTTATTTTTTTAATAAACATTGGACAAATGAAATTAGGGTTTGCGATTTTAGTCTCGGTTGGACTAGGGGTGAGCATCGGTGCGGTTCGGTGCAAAACCGCACCGAATTTGTAGAAAAAACCAAACGGTTTCTGTGCGGTTAACCCCAAATAAAACAGAAAAAATACCAAAATTAAAAGGAATAAATAATAAGTAAATCTGTAAATGTATACAAATTGGGAACACCCTGAATCACTCTAGTCAGTAGAAGGGTTCAATGTCAAATTCATACAAACATTGTGCTATATTACTGAGTTTCCTCGAGAAGCTTCCCTTAATGACTATGCAGTAAATAGAACTTGAAAAAATATTCAGAGAAGATCGCTTGAGCCTCAACAATTAATAAAGGTCTTTCTAATACCACCTCTTATGCTTGTCCTTTTAACACAGATATGAGAACAAGTGCATATAAAATCTCAAAAACCTCAAGAAAATCGTAGATTAACTACTCGCCAGTTCCATCAATTTTTACTTACATATCTCAGAAAGCAAAAACACAATTAAAAATGGAATCTATGTGAAACGATAAAAGAAGAAAAACAAATCGAGAGGTAGTAATGGTAAAGGATAGACTGAGATAGAGTGAAAGCTACAGAGTCAGAGGCCGGTGGAACGAGCGAGCGCCGATGATTGGAGATGCAAAGAGTAGCCGGCGGCTGGCTGGCGAGAGACGAGATGAGACGAGAGTGAAAGGTGCGAGTCAGAGTGAGGGACGAGTCTAAATTCTGAAAAACGAGGGCAAGCATTTCTTGTAATGTAAAAAATATAGAATATGTGGTCAGGTCAGGTGTGGTGTAATTGTATATACTAGTATATTTTCATAGAACTTGTCCGTCTAAGCACAAAAAATAATAGGAGCGAATCATTTATTTTTCATATATTTTAATTAACGATAAATATTTTAGCCAGAACATTAACATGTTAATTAATATATTATTACGTTAACTTATACTAATATAAATTTAGTTTTAAAATTTATATTTATTCATTGATATAAGAAAAAATATAATAAATATAAATTTGGTTTTAAAATTTATATTTATTCATTGATATAAAAAAAAATATAACAGTAGTAATTATTTATTCACCCTATAATAATCAATTATCATTTTATTATAAAATTTATTTTTGCATATTTTTATTTTTATTATTTATATAGAAGTAGTCCACTTCTTCTTCTTAATTTATGTAATTAAAAATATTTAATGTTTGTAAATATTATTTATTAATGTAATTAATTAAAATTTATGTAAATAAACTTAAAATAAATATTTGGTATAAATGTGTAAAAATACACGCACATGTTTTCTAGAATTTAATTTCCTCATAATAAATAAAAAATTTTGATTTAGCAATTGCCGAAAAAGAAATTTCTCATATAATCAACAACTTTTTTTGATTTTCATCCTATGACTTTATAGTTTATTTATGTGCAATGGAAATATATTATACAGTAAATTCATTATGGAAATAAATTAAATATAAATAAAATGACAAAAAAATTATCATTGTTGACAATAATATACAAATAAATCACGTATTGAAATTTCAAAGAATACTTAATATATTTTAATTTTATTTTATGGTGATTAGTAAAATTATTATGTATCTGATCATTTTCTCTTAAATGAAAAATTATTTTTAATTTAAAATATTAATTATTATTTTTATATAACTAAACAAAATTTAAAACTATTATTGGCAAATATTAATTTACCAACTTGATTTCACCTAATTAGTAGGAAGGATAAAATTATTTAACATATTATGATTATTTATAAATATTTTAGGATGAAATAAAATATTTGTGAAAAATAATATAATAATATGGTTAAGACTTAAAATTTGTTTTCATGTTTATATTGACCAAAATATTATCAACATGAATCACGAAAAATCAAATTGTTGCTTATTATAATGGATATTAATAAAATTATTGTAGATGAATAAAATTATTTAAGGAAAAAATCTTTCTGATCATACCTGATTTAAAAATGTGTATATGAAAACATTAATGCATAAATTTAAAAACATTCTAAATAAGGTATGCATTAAATGTTACTAGATTTTTTTGCTACTATTTTTAGTAAATAGTTATTCTCTTTATATAGACTAGTACAGAGCCCGTGCGATGCACGGGGTGCACAATTTTAAGGCTATTTATCCAGACTTATAATTATATACATGAATAAAAAAAAAATGTACGGGATATATATAGTACGTGTCCGCACGAGATATATTTATTTGGAGAATATTATATTATAAGATGCAATATTCAATAAAAGTTTATAATACGCAAGAAAAGAAAATTGTACAATGTACAATAAAAGTTTTATAATATTCAAGTGGAGTCTTAAAGTCTCTTGTACATTAAGACTACTGACAAAATAATATTTTAATCAATGAATTTCCTTTCCTTGTAGCCAAATTGTGAATGTAATTTGAGGAGTACAACAAATCGATATATAGCTGACTTGCTTTTTTCATTGTAGTTTTTTTTTCTTTTTTTTTTATAATGAATTTAAAGATATTCTAAAATATAGCAAAAATTAATTTTTTTATTACAATTAGTAATTTTACTAAATATAGACTCTCAATCTATGGTATTAAAGTCTAAAAAATTAGGAATTTTTGCCTCTTTTAAACACCGTTTAAGTCTAAAAAACAATAGAGTTATTATAAGTTTTTTTCTATATTTTTTAAAACATTAAATATGAGCATGTTAGGGCTAGCTTGTAAAATAATTAATATATTATCTCACTTAAACATTTATACTAATAAAAAATTAATTTTAGCATATAGATTTATCCCTTGATATAAGAGAAAGTAACAATTTTACTTTTGTTGTTCACCATATAATATTTAATAAAAAAAGAATATTGTTAAATAGTGTAGTAGAATTGTTATAAAATTATATGATTTTTTTTTTACAATATGGATTTAATAATTTTTTATGATTTGATAATATAAACAAATCTATACTTAACTTTGACAAATAAAACAAATAAATACTTTAGTAAGTATTTAATGTATATACTAAAATCAAATACCAAATATAATCAAATAAGTCAAAGTGTACATTTTTATTTGGTATTTAATTTTTTTATTATTAAAATCTTTTTATTATACTTACCTTTTTAAAATAAAATAAATAAATAAATCAATTAAATAAATAAAATATTATAATACCAAAATAGTAATGGCATTTAATGCAGTTGACTTTTCTGGATAGTAAATGTAGTAAATAGAATCTCCTTTTATATAAGTATAGATATGATATTATATTATGTTGCTCAAAATGGTAATGCATTTATTGTATTGACTTTTCAACTTACTAAATTTTGTACACCTTATTATATAAGTATAGATATAGATATAGATATAGATTATACCTATAATAAATTGACACTTTAAGGTTTATGCTATTCGGTGCGGCGCACCATTTGAACACAAAATCGAATTGCACCAAATTTTTTGAGATTTTTCAAAAGCTTAACTGCACCGTAAACGGAACTCTCCAGAAACCGAACCGAACTGCACCGAATACATCGGTTTGGCTTGATTTTGCTCAGCCCTAGTTGGACCAAACATTCGCGATTGCGTTTTGCGTTGGGCTTAGGAGTGTGCATCTGTCGGTTTGGTCGACCAACCAAACCGAATTAGGAAAGCCGAAATAAGTGAACAATATTATGCCGATAATCAAACCCGGCCGAGTTATCAATTGATAACCGAAAGAATTTCTTGGTCGGTTTTGGTCGGTTTGGTCAAACAGGCAGTACTATACATTTTAAACAACCTGCTAAAATATGTCCTAGTGAATTTTAATAAACACACTTCAACACCAAATGGTAATGTTTTTTTCTTTCCTGGCCCTTGTAACCATTATCCATAAGAAATATCAATTACTCACATTACATAATCATAGAAAAAAACAAGGAAACTACAGAGCAGCACATCAAGAATTAACACAATGTTACAGACAACGCGCACAATTTTTACTTTTTTCCCTAAAAATTGCTCCTTTATTTGAGAACATATGGTACAAGTGGAAAGGAGAAAAAACGAAGGAAATTTTGAGCTACACTAACAACTTTCAATTAACAGATAAAAGTGTATCCACATACTGACATACACACTGCGTTTAAGAAGCTCAAGGATGAGAAACAAATAATTTTTTTAACAAAAAATAAGAAATATAAAAACTTTACCTCTTTGAGGTTAACAGAGCAGCGATATGGGAGGAGGCGCAGAGCATTTGATGTCTGAAAATCGACACAGATCGATATAATCAAAAAATTATAAACTGAAAACCGAATGAGTCGCATAAAAGCTGAACCGAAATTTCAGTTCTGTTGGTTTGTTCGGTTTTAGTCGAATTATGCATACTCCTCCTAGTTGGGTTGGAGACGCTCCAAGGCCCATATTTTACATGTCGTCCAAATTACCCGTTGAACTGAAAAAAATAAAAAAAGAAAAAAACAATTTCATGGTAGGTAATTTGGATGGCAAACCATTATCAGATTAAAGGATGACATTAGAGTCGAGCCGAGACGAGACGAATCGAGTATTCATGTTTGAGCTCAGGATCATTTAACAGATTAGTTGGGTCGGCTCGACTCCTTTAATGAACAAATAAATGTCCCGACTCAAGTTCGATTCATTTAAGTTCGGAAAAGCTCAGTTTGGGTTTCGCTCACTTAATAAACCTAAAATCTTAAATGAGTTGGTCATAAACAAGAAATGTCAGTTTCCAATCAAGTTTAGTTCTGTCGCATTTTTTTTTTTTTTTTTTTTTTGACTGGAAGTTCTGTCGCATTTTAAATATATATATAAACAGTTGTTCGCGATTAAGTTCCGTTTGGCTCATTAGAAAGTCTATTGGAGTCATCGGATGGCTCCCTTATGGAACCATCCATACCTTTATGTATTGACACGTGTCCAATGTGTATTTATTGCAGGACACGTGTCAATACATCATTTGTGGAGAACTATGGATGGCTCTATAAGCCGAACCATCCGATGACTCCATAGCAAAACCGTTAACATGTCAAACCGAGTTGTATTCTCAAACAACTCAGTTCGGATAACAACTCGAACCAAATATAAGTTCCTTAAAATCCTTTTTAAGATTTACGACATGTACATGTAATCAAGTCAAAGTCATGATAATTCCTATAAAGAAATTATAGGTGAATAGTGTGACCATATAAATTAAAAGTAAAACTAATCCGGATAATTTTATTCCAGCAATCTCAATGTTACAAAAATGTCATGCACAATCCTTTGTAACATACCGACAATCTCAATGTTGCCAAAATGTGATGACAATACTTTGTAAAATATTCAAACAATCTCCCTTTTTATATTTTTATGAAAATAAAACAGATCAGATTAACTAAGTAAAAGTTGAACAATATCCAAATTATTACAACCTGCATAGCCATACCCACAAACACTACAGTCTATATATCGCTCCCTCCCCTTTGTGTGCCCCTTTATAAGTCACTTCAAAATCCTATTAAGCCTATTATGTCAATAACCTCTGATAAGGAATGCAATCAAATTCATCTTATACCAAAATTTCATATCTCCAATCTCATTTTCTTGAACTTCTATCCAAATTTTCCTAACCAATTTCCTATCATTTGGCAGTGTGTCTATATCATACTGTGGTGATCATTTCCATCAGTCATGGCAAAAAGAAAAAAAAAACCATTGATGGGTCCTAACACCATCATCATATGCATCATCATCATCATCATATTCATCTCCACAACAAAAAGGCCATGGCCTTATGTCCATGGATCAGACATAAAGCAGAACGACTCCCTGGACCAATACCTTTACCAATATGCCCTCAACAACACCCAAAATCCCCACACAGGCACACTCTACAATGTCCCCCTTCCAGCCAACCTATCAGGGGCAGAACTGTCATTCATCCGCCTCCGCACCAGAAGCCTCCTGAGGAACGGAGCCAACCACACCCCATACTTCACACTGCCACCTGGCACGATCCCATTGCCCTACACTAAGCGCCTCGACATCGTCTACCAAAACCTCGCCAACTGGTCCTCGTCGTACTACTACGTACCCCACCACACGCTAGTCACCCCCGTCACCGCCTTCCTAGCCTACAACTCCAATGTGAGCTCCACAAACTACGGCCCCCTCGACTTTATCCTGTTCTGGAAAGACCCCATCATCGCCCGTTTTCCCAATCTTTCTAAAAATGGAAAGGAAGCCAAGTGCGTTAGGTTCGATGCTGACGGGTCGACCGAATTTAGCAATGTGACTGAGGGAAATTCGTGCGCGGTTAGTAAACAGGGCCATTTTGCTGTTGTGGTCCCGACTAAGAGGGAATATAGGGAGAAAGCTAACACGCGGGTTATTGAGGTTGTGGGGAGTGTGGTTGGATTTTTGGGCTTGGTTATGATTGTTGTTGGTGGGCTTGTGGGGTATGAGAAGTGGGTTAGAAAGAGAAGGATGGCTAAAATGGATGGTTTGTCTGAGGTTAATGTGGCCTTGGATACTATTTGGATTGGGAGGAGTCGAGTGCCGTATGCTGCAGGCGGTAGGAGTTTTCCGGTTATTCAGAATAGATATGTGTGTTGAAAAAAAAAAAA